TGCTGGCCACAAAGTCTCTCCATTTTCGTTCATGGAATGTCTTCATATCTCTTTCATTTGTGGAGGATAATTTTGCTTCCATGGTTTCTGATGATAAATAAACTCCTATTATTTATTGAAGATTATTCAGGATCATTTGTATGTAATGAGTTCATCTTACTTGGAGTTTGTTAAGCTTTTTGGATGTATAATGTGTTTTCATTAAATTTAAGCAGTTTCTGCCATCGCGTCTTCAAATACTCCTGCTCCTTTCTCTTTATACTCTCTGTCTGGGACTCACATTATGCATATGTTGGCATACTTGAGGGTGTCCCACTGATTTCTGAGGGCTATGTTCATTTTTCTCCAGTCTTTTTTCTTTCTGTTCCTCAATAACCTCAATTGAACTGTCTTTAAGCTCACTAATTTTTTCTTCTTACAGCTCAAATCTACTAAGTCGTTATAGTGAATTTTTCTTTCATTTATTGTTCTTTGCAGTTCAGAATTTATAATTGATTTTTTGTATATAATTTGTTTTTCTTATTGATGTTCTCTATTAAATGAGCCCTCGTTTTTCTAACTTCCTTTAGTTCTTTAAACATGACTTCCTTTAGGTCTTTGAATAATTTAAAATAGCGAATTTAAAGTCTTTGTCTAGTGATTCCAATGTCTGAGCTTCCTCAAGGACTGCTTTTATAGACTGCCTTTCTTCCTGGGCATGCGCCATACTTTCCTGTTTCTTTGCATGTGTCATAAAATGTTGTTGAAAACTGGCATTTTAAATACTATAATGTGCCAACCCTGAAAATCATATTATCCCTCCTCTCCAGGATTTTTGTTGTTTTTTGTTTTTTAGTGACTTTCCTGAGTTAATTTTGTAAGGTGTGTACTCTTCATGTGTCTGGCCACCAAAGTCTCTGCTCAGTTAACTTAATTATCAGCTAACAATTAGACAAAGATGTTCTTAAAAGCCTATAACCAATAAATCTCCCAGTCTTTGTCAAGGGGCTGTGTGCGTGGTGGGACATGTCTTCATCGCTCAGCTAGGCACTTTGCAACTCTGCCTTACCCTTCCCTTCCTGCTTGCACAGAGCCACAGGTCAACCAGAGGTGAGAGCTCAGGGCCTTCCCAGGTTTAGGGGGCTTGTGCACAGCTCTACACATGCATCCATGTGGTCTTCTAGATTCTCCAGAATATGTTGGAGCTTTTCAAAGCCCCCTGTGGACATCTTTCCCCAGATTTTCTTTTTGGTTTTTTTAGTTTACTGTTTTCTCCAACTGTTATCACCGCCTTCTCCATTTTCTAGTCACTTCACAATAAACATGTACTTCCTTTATGGAAAAAAATATTTTACCATCTTTTCCCCTTGACTTATATTTGCATCACATTCTGAGCCCACAAATCCCTGCCATCACCTGTCTTTCCTCACTACTCCCAAGCACAAATAAAGAAAATAACTCAGAGGAAAAACATCGTTTGAGAAAGAAAATCAAGTCAGTGTTCATCTGTCTTTCCAACACCTGCAATACTCGTTTTAGAGGCATAAAGTGGGGTTTTTGTGGGTCAGCCAGGGAAATATTGAGGAAGGGCAGGTTTGACACTGAGAGATAACACAGGGCTGGTGTATGGGCTGCTGCTGGCTCAGGCTCTGACAGCTGCTGTTGAGTCAAGCACTTAAATCCCTGGTACCCAAGCTGCTCCCTCTGGACACAAGGAGCAAATGCTTCAGGGACATCTTGTTTCTCTGAACCCTTCTGCATAAACACCCACGTGTATCCTCTTCTCTCTATCCCACCTGCATTCAGCACAAAGCAGCTGCTAATATATATTACTGGTCGTTTTAACAGATGACATACTGACTGGCTGGTCTACTGCTTTCCTGGGTGATAGTGTGACTTTTTGGAGTCCCTAGTAGTCTTACCTTTGTGGGCCCCTTGCTCCATTAAAAAAATGTTTTTAATTATATTTTATAACTGTGTTGATATAAAGATGAATATGTTAACATTTTCTTCTAGCTAAAAGTTTATTTTTCTGATTTTAAAAGAAATTAAAACATTTTCACGGGCCCCTAAAAGTATTATAGGCCCTAGACAGTGTGCCTACTTGCCTAATGGAGAAGTGAGCCCTGAATTACTAACTAAATGAATGCTTTCACTTTCTGAGATTTTTTATAAGAGAGCTCTTTGGCCTCAGGAAAAAAAAATTCACGATTGTCATTTCCCATATCTTATACCAGGCCTGTTGCCTAGTTTTCTGTTCTAAGGAGATGGACGGAATTTCCCCCATTCTGCTATTTCACATCTAAAAGAAAGCTACTCCTCACTCTGGGGCTGCCAGTAGTTCACATGGTATTTTTGTGCAAATTAGAAAACGTCTTCTCATCTTTAAGAAGGAAGAAGAGCTTTAAGGTAGTATATCATGACACGATACGGGCAACTATGCCCACTGAGCCTGAGGAAAGCGCAAACTCAGGTGGATATCCCTTCTACCTCATTTGGGGGCCACAGTGTGGCCTGTGTGTCACGGCAGGTGGGAATCTAACACTGGTCCATGGCCTCCAGCTTAAAGGCAACCGAAGTGTAGTGCCACAAGTCAAATTTCATTCCAAGTGTGTGGCCGAAGCCTTCAAGTCCCATTAGGATTCATGCTAAGCCTCTAAAAGCAGTGGGAAGCCACAGTTGTGACTTTAGGGTACTCCTGGTGCAAAGAGTAGACAAGGTGTAGCCATACGCACCTGTGTGCATGGGTACACTTGCTCTCCTCTGTGTGTGCGTGGCCGTGCAGGCACGTGTGGCTTGTTGTGAGCCAGGACTCTCTCATTGCTGCCCAGGACTCCACTGGGAGGTCTAGAATCTCCATGCCACATTAGCAGGTATCTACAACATGAATGACACCTCCTTAGTTGTGTCATGGTACGCAGGTCATTCTGAACGGCTGCATGCAGTAGCCCTTCCCGGTTCACTGAGTCTCCTTGGCTATGGAAAGCCCACACTCGCATATATACTAAAGCCTCCATTCTCCTCTCCACAGGGATGACATGCCAAGCTCGGAGTTCCTACATCACCAGTGAGATCCTGTGGGGTTACCGGTTCACACCTGTCCTGACGCTGGAGGACGGGTTCTATGAAGTTGACTACAACAGCTTCCATGAGACCTATGAGACCAGCACCCCGTCCCTTAGTGCCAAAGAGCTGGCCGAGTTAGCCAGCAGGGCAGAGCTGCCCCTGAGTTGGTCTGTGTCCAGCAAACTCAACCAACATGCAGAATTGGAGACTGAAGAGGAAGAAAAGAACCTCGAAGAGCAAACGGAAAGGAATGGTGATGTGGCTAACCTGGAGAATGAATCCAAAGTTTAGTGCCCTAGCGGGGCAGCTCCTCTCCCCTCCCCCGACACGATCTCTCCTTGTCTATCATTCTCTTTCTTTTCTGTCTCTCTTACTTCCTTCTTTATTTATTTATATTTAATTTTGACATTACCAGAAAACAAATCTTCAAGGTGTAAAATATCTACCTGCCCTTTCTCAGTTCTTTAGATTGACAAGGTAGCCATGGATTTGGTGAAGGTGCAATGTGCCCTCATTTGTGGCCCGAGCCTGGTCTCCCCCCAAAATGCCACCCATCTAACTCCTGGAGATTTAAGCTACTTACCTGCATGTGTTGTACAATACCAGATCACTCAAAAGAGTGTGTCTAAGATGTTACCTGGGATGTGACAAGTAAGGTCTCTGGTGCCTATTTATTCATGCAGTGAGACATAAAGTAGAA